GGAAAGGGAAATGGAGCCGAGAGGACGCGAGTGCATTAGAGGGGAGGCAAGAGATGGTGAGTGTGGGAACTTGCTGCGGCAGAGGGGAAGGAGGGAGGAATAGCAGGGCTGGAGGATGGAAAGGACCTGCGAAGCTAAGGAGGGGGAAGAATCAATTCCGGATGCCAGCGCGGTTTCTGACCTAGGCATTGGGGTGGCTAGTGGCCCCTTCACTGAGACAAGGAGCACAGGAAGAGGAGCAGGCTGGGTGGGGAGGGGTTCAGCTTGAGGAGGTGTGAGGAACCCAAGGGACTTCCGGTGTAACTGTGCAGCGAGCAGATGGAGATAAGGGTGTGAGGCACAGGCCATGCATCTTGCTGCCCATCCTTGTCAAGTATGTGCTCCCTGAAGCCAGTGGCAGGAATGACATCATCCAGGTAGTGGGTGAGGCGGAGGGAAGGGCCGAGAGCTGAGGACAGCGGGCCACGCAGAGATGAAAGGCATAGTCTCTGTCCTCCAGGAATGAGATAAGTGAGGGAGTGGAACCAAGTGAGTACCAGCCCAGCCCTTTCACGCCAGCGGCTTAAAATGGCCATTCAGGCTCTGATGTTAGCCAGCAGCCTCTGAGCCCACGCATTTCCCAAGAGCCATTTATCTAAGCTCTGCAGCCCCCGTCCCTGAGCCCCAGGAGAGGACTGCCCGCTCCCTGCAGCTGTTCAAGGACAGCTGACCGGGATGCCCCGGGGTTTCCTCCTGGGGCACAGGATCAGAGAGGTGATGGTGTGTATTTCCTCTCTGTCTGGAGGTCACCCAGAATCCAGGTCAGGTTCTGGGGTTCCTGCCTCCCTCCAACAGGCACACGCAGCATCCACTCTGAGGTCTGTCTGTGGGACCCCGATCTTAATGTTGTTTTTTGTGAGGAAGATCAGTGCTGAGCTAACATCCAATGCCAATCCTCCTCTTTTTTGTTGAGAAAGATTTGCCCTGGGCTAACATCTGTGCCCATCTTCCTCTACTTTATATGAGACACCGCCACAGCATGGCCTGACAAGCGGTGCATTGGTGCGTGCCTGGGATCCGAACCTGCGAACCTCAGGCTGCCGCAGCAGAGTGCGCTCACTTAACCTCTACGCCACCAGGCCGGTCCCCCGATCTTAATGTTCTTAATGTCAGAATGGGTGGCTGGCCTCAGGTCTGACCCCTAGAAAAGAATTCTCTCTCGGAGTCTTCTGGCTGTATCTACCCTGGTAGCCCTATTTGGATGTAAAAATAAACAGAGTAAGCTTGACCATTTTCTTTTCACTGCATGCACTTCACTAAGCCCTTTATGAGCTTTCTGTCACTGAACCTGCACTTTATGAGATGGGAATGTACTGTGCCCATTTTACAGATGAGGAAACTGGGGCCCAGAGAGGCTGGGTGACTTTCCTGAAGTGGAGTCTGTGTATGTCTGCGCTGGGCACACTCCCAGGTTAGAACCCTGAATTTACGCTAGCCATTGGCCGTGTCCCTGTCCTACGAGAGCTCACCCCCAAACCAGCCACACTTCAGCTGGTGGTGTGTGCGTGTATATGTGTGTGCGCGCATGCCACAGATGCCGCTCCCTGCTCCTGAGCTCTCCTAGACTGCCCTCAAGAGACCACAGGAATTCGGATGAATTAATCTCATCACTTTATCGAGGAGGCACTTAAGAAATTACAAGGCCACCAGCCTGGCTTTGCTGGCAGCCAGCCGCTGGGGCCATAAAACAAATTGAAAGGAACAAAAATAAATAAATAAAATTAGAACTCTTGCCCTCTCTCTCTCTCACACACCCACACCCACACCCACACCCACACCCACACCCACACACAGGTCAAGAACATCGCTCGAGTTCTTGTTAACGCTCAGTCCTCTTGTCCTGGGAGAGCACCAGTGCCAAATCAATGGACACTTAGTGACCCCCGGCTGGAGCAACAACCCTGCAGAACCTGGGATCGGTCCTCCTTCAGGGGCTGACAGGCTGGCCGTGCAGCTGACCAGCGAACGTGAAGAGCTAGCAGCGTGCAAGTGGTAACCCACCCGGCACGAGTTACCCTGCCAGGTGAATGCAGGCCCCCGACGGGCCCTGTGAGCTCTCTGCACAGTGGTTCAGAGCGGAGACTCGAGCTAGGCCGCCTGGGTTCAAGTCCTTGCTCTGCCTCATCCTGGACTCTGCTCACCTTTCTCATCTGTAAGATGGAGAAAAAGATGTTTACCTGCAGGGTTGTTGGGAAAATTAAAGGTTCACTCTGTGCAAAGCAGAACTGCAGCTGCTTCATAATGGGCACTCGTCGGTGTTAGCTCTCGGTGTGGACTGAGCAGCTTGTGTGCCAGGCGCTTGGGCTGCAGAGGAGCTGGTCTAGGGGGAGGAGACAGGCAATCACAACACAGGCGATGGGGAGAGAAGGAGTGCCTGCCTGAGTGGGACCTGGAGACGGAGGCAGGCTGGGCGAGGAGGTGGAGGGAACACAGTGGGCTTGTTCTAAGCAGCCGGAGCCAAGGCCTGGAAGCCTAGGAGCTCATGGAGTTCTAGGAACTGATAATTATGCAGAGCAACGGGGATGTTGAGGCTGAAGGGGGGGGGGGGTTGGGGGGGGCAGATTCGACAGAGCCTTCTAAGCCAGGACAGACTTGGATACATTAGTTTATGTATGTGTTTTCCTCCTTTCTGTTTATCTTTTTAGTTTTACCATACTTATGTGAATACCGAGAAGCCACACAAGCCAGAGTGACCTGAGAAATGATGAGAGTTGGATAAAGGGCGGGAGGGCGGGGCACAGACTCTTCATCCCTTCCCTTCCTGTCCCCTCCCATCCTCCAGCCCAGAGGATGACCTCCAGCCCCTCTCCCTGCAGGAAATGGGACCGCTGGACATGAGAGAGAGAGAGATCTAAGGTGTCCAGGGGAAATGGACCTCTGAGCCTCAGTTTCCTCACCAGTACAAAATGGGGATGAGAATACTCAGTGCCCTGTTGTGAGTACTCAGTACACTCAGTACTCAGTACAGTTAGGCACGTTGGAATTGGGGCTCAATAATTTTATTACTTCAAAGCACTTTGTCAGTGGTGGAAAGTGGTTCATGCTGGTTCTCAGAAAATCCACTAGTAAATGGTTTCCATATGCCACCCAGGGAGGCTGAGGCACAGGGACACCTGTGGACAGCCCCTCCCCACCTTCCCCCAGACCACCTCAGCTGCTGGGTCAGTAACAGGGGCCTGTCTGATTTCCCCAGGCTGCTTGTTGGGTGCAGGGGGGGCACAGGGCTCTGTGTGGCCCTGGGTAACTCACTTCAGCTCCCTGAGTCTCAGTGTCTTGGTCTGTGAAATGGGGCACCATGAGCCCTTCTCAGAGGGTCGTTGTGAGGACTGAGGGAGCTGATGCAGATTATGCACATGGTAGATACACAGTGAGGGTGGCTGTTATTACTGCTGACGTGAATGAGGTTACGTGTGGAGGACAACCAGGCCTGGAACTGCCCTTTCAAGCCCTGTCCCGGGCTGAGGATGGCCTTTCAGAGGCTGGTCTGTGCCAGGCAGTGTCCTTGCTCAGTGAGGTGGCCCAGCAGCACCCCTGGCTCAGAGAAAGTTCCCTGGGCCCGAGGTGGGGAATCTGGGAGACCGTGTTCTGGGTATCACTTCTCCCTGCTCCCTCAGGAGGTGGGGTCTAGCAGGAGAGGGGATGGAGGTTTGCACCAGTTCAGGGAGTCTGTTCTCTAAAACCACAGGCTTGGGCAGACCTCACTGACTTTGGGACAGGGGCCAAGGAGAAAAAATAAAAACAAAACAGCGCTGGGGTCTGCTGTCTTGCATTTATACCTTCCAGTTGCCTTTCCGTTCTCATGTGACAGGTGCACAGTGCATATGTGTGAAATAAGTGTAGACAGGTAAGAGTGTGCAGGACGGAGGCGATGTTCCTCTATTAGGAAGGCAGCCACAGCCTCTCCTGACCATACTGTGAGCCCTCCCAGGAAGAGGCACTGAAAAGGGACATTGGCCTCCCCAGGGGCATTTGAAGATCAAGTCAATGTAAATAAGACCCATATAGTTCTGTTGCAGAGAACCAGTCTGTAAACCTCAGGTTTCTCACCTGTAAAATGGGGATAGTGTCGGTGCCTCATTCATGGGATCGCCATGAGGATTCAGTAGACTATTCATTCAACGAGTTTTTCCTGCATGCCTTCTGCGGGGCAGGGGCGGATCTCAGTGTGGCTGGAGATTGAGTGGTGAACAGGACGCGTTCTTGTCTTCGTGGGACCCACAGCCTACTGGGAGCATGGGATCAGGATCATGGTAGTCATTATTATAACCCATTTAAGGGGTGACATCGAAAATTAATCACAAGTTCCGTCTGCAGCAATGAACTGTGCTTATAAAACCACCCGCTCACGTTGAATAGCGCTTTACAATTTTTAAAGCAATTTTACATACATGATCTTGCTTAATCCTTCACTCAGTAGATATCACACTGTTTTGCAGATGGGGAAACAGACTCAGTGAGAGGAAAGTGATTTCCTCAAGGGCAGCCGAGCTGGGTGGCCTGGGCCTTTGTGGTGGGCTGTGGAATCCAGGCCCTGGTCCCTGTGGGCTCAGAGCTTCCAAGAGGCTTCTCTGATGAGTTGGGGCCCCGGGCTGGAGGGCAGAGGGGCCGTGGTCTGCCCTGATGTTCTGGTCAGCACAGGGGCTGTTCTCTTCCTGGGATAAAATGCCAGCTCAGCGAGATTTGATGTCCCAGCCCGGTGGTGGCTTCAAAACGGTGGGTGACCATTCTTCAAAGCCGTGGCTGCCTGGCCCACCCAGACCTCTGGAACTGGATCTCTGTATTTAAGAGAGTTGCAACACTTTGACAAGTACCCTGGAACATCTACCTTGAGACCCACTGCACTGTGGGAACCTCGGGGTCGGGGGAGCAGTGGGTCCGGCCGGTTAATCGCCATCCAGCCTTTGGCCGGTGGGTGGGGGCCCTGGATGGCACCTGGCAACCCTGTCTGTGTCTGGTTACAGGGAACATCGAGTACAGCTGCCCGGCCACCAACGAGTGTGAGATCACAAAGCGGAGGCGCAAGTCCTGCCAGGCGTGCCGCTTCATGAAGTGCCTCAAAGTGGGGATGCTGAAGGAAGGTAAGAGGCCCGCATGCCCACGCCGCCGAGGCTTAGCCCGGGCCCGGGGTCCTGCGCGAGACCCTTCCTCTCGTTAGGGGTCTCAGACCCTTGGGAGAATATCTGTAAGCTGTGGACCTTCTCCCCGGGGCAGCGCGTGTGCACATGGTTCCTCGGGGTCTGCAGACCCTAGAAATCCCTCCGTGCATCCCAGGTTAAGACCCTGCCCTACTTCGGCCCTGGAAAGCTGTCTTGGCACTCTGGCGAAGGCCCTCCTTTAGGGCCCAGCCCCTGCTCCACCCTGGGAGGGTAGGCATGAGGCGCTCTATTACCTCTCCACGGTCCATGGAGTGTGGGGTGCCAAGAGCGGAGAGGCTAAGGCCGAGAGTGACACGTAATGTACTGTTCAACTGCGAACCACAGCCTGTGCTTTCGGCAGGTGGACAGGACGTGGCCGTCTCCTGGCGGATGTCGCCCCTCCCCTGTTCCCCGCCCCCCATCCTCTCCCTTCCCTTTCCTTTCTCTGCCTTGGCCTCTCTTTCTCCTCCAGAGCTGTGCCGTCCAACACGGCAGCACGAGGCATGCGTTTCTGAGTTAAAATACACGCTGGATGTTGAAGACTTAACTAGGATGATAAAAAGGAGCATAAAATAGTGTAGTAAAAATTTTTGAAAAATAATTGCCTGTTGAGATGATAATATTCTGGATACATTGTGTTAAACAAAACATAATACGCCAGTAATATCACATGCTTCTTTTCACCTTCCTTGTGTGGCTACTAGGACATTTAAAGTGACATGTGGCTCTCATCACTAGGGCAGCGCTGCTCTCAGGCTCCTCTTCATCACCTTCCCTGTTGATCTGCTCAGGTTGATGACCCTCGTTAGGTAGCATTTTGGGGGATATGGGTAGTTTGTGTGTGTGTGTGTGTGTGTGTTTCTCCAGCTTTCAAGAGGAACCAGTGGTAATTCTTAACAGATCAGCTTTTATGCTTCTGGGCCCTGAGATCCTTCCAGAAGTGGGAGGAGGCAGGAAGAGAGGTGTGTGCTAATGATTGGATCATCTGATGATTGGGAGGGGCTGCGAGAGAAAAGGAAGGGGCAGGACTGGAATGCAGTCCCTCACTGGGAGGGGGCTTCTGGAAGCCCAGCCCAGCCTTTAGGAGCCCCAGACCCCCCCACCCCACCCTGGTCTCCATGCACACTCTGGGGAAGAGGGCCCAGATTTAAGATGCTTTGTCAGTAGGATGACGTGGGACTTGGACGTTGTTGTGTTGTGGAGGTTGGAGTCCCCTCCCTCCGTTTTCCATTCCAGGGTCCCCCTCTTCACCTCCCCTCAGCCGGGCGTCTGCTCCTGTAAAACAGAGGCTCCTGAAGCACTTCCTCAGCTACCCCTGTGTCTTCAGAGCACGATGGCCTTTAAACTGCATTTCTCATTAGTCGCTTCATTTAACCCATTTGAGATGGGGAAGGCCACTCAGCTCTTAAACACCTGCCAGCTGCTACATTGGGGGATCAACAGAAGAAACAGCCCTGTTTCTAGATTGAAACTGGGCCATACTGGACCTGCTGAAAGACTATGTGTGGGTTCATTTTGATTCTACACTATTTGCTCTATCCCTGTGTAGGGTGTGACCTAAACTGAATCAGGTCCCCTCACTCCTACACCTGGCCGTTTCTGCCCCTCCAGAGCATCCTGGGGTTCACAGATGAGGAAACTGAGGCACGAAGGCCCTCAGAAGCATGCTTCAGTGCTGGTCTCTTGACTGCCCCTCCGTGTGGGAACCAATCTGAGGGTTTCTAAGTCGTGGAGAGAGTCCTTGCTCTTAAGGCCGCGAGGACGGGGGCTGCCACCTTGTTCTGGGAAGCTGGGTGTGAGGACACCGGGTCAAACTGGGGATCAGCTGTCCAACAGCTTTTCCTAGTATGGCCTCTGTTTGCTTACTTTGCAGCATCCAATGAACTTAGAGCAGAAGGAGGCTGATTGCTCTCAGTATACTCCTGAACTTTAGGGATGACCAAATTGGGTCCTGCAGGGGTTGGTCAAGATGACTCTCCACTCTCAGTCATGTGCTGGTGTGAGGGGAGCTGGGCCCACAGCCTGGAGCTTCCTCGTGCTCTGTACTGTGTCTGCCCCCCATGGCAAAGGTCAGGGATAGGGGAGGCCACCCACCCCCAGGATTGTGAGCTAGAGCAGGGGAGGGAGAGGGAGAGATGAGGAAAAAGTAGGGACCACCGTTCAAAATCTCTGGACCGTCTTGCAACACTGAAGAGTCTCCTTAGGCACACCCAGTGTTTGGGAGAGAGTGGGGGTACGTTCTAGTAGCCCCCTAGAAAGGAGGAATGATGGGGGGGGATTCACTAGTGGCAAGGAAGTGAGTGGCCAAGTGCGTAATTGGTGGCAGCAGCTCAGGTCCCAGTCCACCGACCACTTAAGAGAAGTGAGATGGATGCTGTATCCCAGGATGATGGTGGGGGGTGCTGGGGGGACACGGGCCTGAGAGAAACGCTGCCTTGGGTGGGGAGGACGTGCAGGGTGAGCCCCAGCCTTGACCCGTCCCCCCGTAAATAGCCATGTGATTGGCCCAGGAGGCAGGATGGGACATAGGATACAGGATGTCCTCTAACCAGGGTGGCAGCCGGGGCATCCGAGGTTGTTGGCAGGAGCCAGGCAGATGTGCTGAGGTGGTGAGCTTTCTGGGGCCCAGCCTGGAGAGACCTTTTCAGGAGCTCTGCCTAGAGGAGGAAGGGCCATCACCAGAACACTTCTCCCCCAGCGCTGGCAGGTCTAAATCCAAAGGGGAAAAAATGACACAAAGGCTCCTGTGTAGACAAAGCCAAGCCTCCATTTGGTTTCCGTCCCCCGCAGGACAGAGCCTTGGCGCGATCCTGGGATCTGAGCTCCACGGGGACTGGCCCCTTAGGAGGAGCGTGCCTCACCAAGGAGCCTGGGTCCCTGCAGGCAGGGCTCTTGGCAGCTGCCCTGGCTTCTGTGGTTTGGGTGTCCCCCCCTCTGTGTGCAGGAGCCCAGGACCCCCAGACCAGCGTGGGCTGTGCCTCCACCTGTCTTCCCTCTGATTCTCAAAGACAAACTCCAGCCTTCCTCGGGGCCGCTCCCCCTCTTTAAGGTTCCACGGTGGGTGGGCCTCGGGCCTGAGGGAGCTGGGGGCTGGGTCCTGGGTCTTATTGGAGGCAGGGGGCTGGGGCAGGGGAGAATATGAATCCTGGCTGCTCCTTCCTCCCATCTCACCTCCACATCTGAACACTGTTTCCCCTCCTCTCTCCAGCAGCTCTGGATACCCTTACAGTTTTTCCTTTCTTAAGTACAATACCCTGGGAGACTGCCACATGATTTGGGGGGCCCAGCAGCTGCCGGGGAAAAGGCCAGACGTATGGCCTCCTTTGCCTCAGCCTCTGCCTTGAGGCTGCTGTCAGCTCTGGAATCATCGACTGTGGAATGTAGGTGATGTCCGAGGGTCTGTCTCGCTTGGAGCAAATCCAGTGTATGAAAATCTGCATTTTCAGGGAAAGAAAGTGATTATTCTCTTTATAAAAAATTGAATACAAAATCTGCCCTGGGCTGGGAGTTGGTGCTGTGTCCTCCTCCTGGCTCCGAGGTATTCTTGCTCTGTGTGTTATTTCTCACTTCTGCTGCTGCACTCCACATCTTCACCTGTAGAGAAAGGTCTCTGCAGCAGCAGGTCAAAGTGGGGACCAGATGGGACAACTCCTTGGTGGAATCCACTGTGAGATTGATTTCAGATGTCAGTTTTCTGGGCATGTTAAAGTAGTATTGGATGCAACTTTCAGCAGCCCGCCCATTGTGTTAGGGGAGGCAGACTGGTGTCTGGCTGTCTGATTTTCCTCCTGGACTTGCTGGTGGGAATCTTAGAGGTGGCATCTGTCTTGGGCTGGCCCCCATCTGGGGTCTAAAATCAGGATGAGAGGTTCCCCTGGGAGGACAGTGGGGAAGCTCTCCCCTGATAGGCAGGCTTCGCAGCCTGGCCAGGGTATGGCCTGACAGCCTCTAAGCCAGAAGAACCTGGAAAACCATTTGCTGCATTTCACGGGGGCCCCCAAGTCTTTACTACAGCTCTGGGGTTGCAGCAGCTCCCTGGACAGCTTGTCCCTGCAAACTTCACCTTCTCCTCACCTTACGTCACCTCCCTCAAGCCACCAGCCTCCTGTCCTGCTCCATTTCCTCCTCCCCTCAGCCCCTTGCCAGCCTTTCTTCCCAAGTGTTTTCTAAAAGATATTTGATTTCAGTGAAAGCCAGGCTGACATCCACGCAATATGCTCTCACTCTCTTTGTGCTTGTTGGGAAGGCGGAGGGCTCCTCCGGGGACTCTGGGTAATTGGGTTAGTGGCCAGCTCATGTCAGGAAATTAAAAGGAGGCTCCGATCAGGTTCCCGCTGCCTGGGATTTAATGGCTTTGTATTTATAGAGTATTCTGCCTGTAGCCCATGCCAGAAATACCACTTTTCTGGCCCCGTGAATGAAGAAACAAGATGAGAGATGACTTGCCTTTAAAAATTCTTTTTCTTTCCCAAAATACATTAGTGTTCTGAAATTAACCAGCTCTCCAGCACTTCAGAGAATAGTTTTGAACTAGAGCCCAGGAACTCTGATGTGTGTTTGTATCCCCCCGAACCACTTTCCATCCTATATGTGCACACACGTGCACACATACACACACACACACAAGCACATATATGTCTGATGGCTCACAAGATCTTCCCCTGTGGTCTGAAGCATCTAGGCCACTCAGGCACGATGACCTGGTGACCTCTAGTTGGGGAAGTGTTGATTGAATGAAGTCATAGGAGATGATCTTGTCTGTGCTGAGCCCTTTATTACCGTTCATTTGGGGCTTTTGGTGTGTCAAACATTGGATAACAGGTTCAGTGGTCATACAGAGCCAGCAAAACCCCAGGGTCACCATTTATCAGCTCCTTGGGTAATTTACTTAAACCTTTTTAAACCTCCCTTTCCTCCTCTGTAAAATGGAAGTAATAATAGTG